TCCTTCCCTCCTTCCCTCCTTCCTTCCTTCCCTCCTTCCTCGCCTTCTGCGCCTTCCTTCCTTTTCCTTCCCCTCCTATAGGATAAACAAGCCCCCCTCAAATGTGCTCTAGTGGCAGGTGTTCCCACCCATAGCAGTGGCTGGAATGAGATGAGCTTTCACTCCCCTTCCAACCCAAACTATTTAATGATCCCATGATTTACAACCCCCACTGGCACTGGGGGCAGTTACACACCCCAACCCCACCTGAATGACTCTCCAGTCCAGGTGGCACAAGCACAGTTTCTYTCTCCTCCACCATGCAAGGTGCACGCCAAGGGGTTACTCTGAAAAGCTGAAGGCAGCAGCTGTGTTTCCCCTACTCCTTCCTCCCTTTTGGAACATGGGGAAAACACTTCACCCACGGGGAATCGAAGGAAAGGTTCTTGGAAACAGAAGTCTGTTTGCCAACTCAATATCTCTGTAAGGCTCCTGGCTCGTGATACATGATCTGTGGAAAGGATTTAAAATGGGAGCACGTGCCAATGAGCTGGAAGGGAGTGCTGAACAGCTGCTGGTGCTGATGTTGAAGGCACAGCCACCATGGAAATCAGCCAGAAAAGCCTGAGACTGCTTCCTGCCTGAGCCCTGGAGAAAGGGCAAAAAGGATGAGGGGGAATAATCATGTTTTAATCTGTTCTAAGCAAATGAACAGATGAAAAAAATTCCCAGTGTTCAGGAATGGCCTTTTGAGCTGATAACTCCCTCCAAACTTGCCAGATCAGCAACAACATAAACCTTCAGCCWTTTAAAGCCAAGTCTGGGAACAAGCACTGAAGTTTGTGTGGCCAAACCCTCCCCARGACAGCCCTTGCCAAAGCTGGCATGAAAAAGGTACAACAGCTGCTCCTGTTCTCCTCCTCCATGGATCTCACAGCTGCTCTGCCAAGTCACGAGGCAATCCCTGGAGTCTTCCTGGCATAGCCACTTGTACAAAGTGAGCCTAGAAATCTTGTCAAATCCCAGGGCAGGGTAGAACCTGGGAGATCACTGTAGGAAAAAACCTCAACAGTTTTTTGGGGAACCTTCCCCAAAAATTCAAACCTTGGCAAACATTGTTTGGGAAGAGACTCTTCCAAATGCTCAACTGGGAGAATCCTGACAGAGCAGCAATGAAAAGCACTGGATGCCCAGCAGACCTCAGCCCACCATGACAAGATRGACAAGATCCAAGAGGTGCAGGGAAAATCCCACTGCATGTGCATGGTTAGCAAAGCCTTGATGAAACCTCTCAGAAACCTCTCACCAGCCTCTTCCACACTACAGGACAGGGAGAACATGCTGGAAGAGGCTGCAGTTCCCAGCACCTGACAGGTGGGAGCAGAGAATGCACAGGGATGTGAAAATTATCAGTAAGAAAAAGCAGGTGTGCATTAGTGATCCAGGGGACAAACCAAGTCCTGGCCATGGCCAGCTCTTTTATCACCTTAACTGTGTTATCCACCATTGCCTTTGAATTACATAATCATGGAACATCCTGACTTGGAAGGGACCCACAAGGATCRTCAAGTCTAACAGTCCTGCAYAGGAGACCCCAAGAACCCCACCATGTGCCTGGGAAAAATATGTGTGTGTCAAGCAGGACCCCAAAGCCCTTCTTAAAAAGGACTGCATTTGGAAAAACCATTTTGACTGGGAATAACTGCTAAGGAAGAAAAAAAAAAAAAAGAGAAATATTTTCTGAAGAAATGCTCTAACCTGGAAAAAAGGGAAAGTGAGCTGTCAGTGACATTTCCTGAACCAACTCTATCTCAAATCCATAMCCCCCATCTTGCCATTGAATTAGTTTCATGTTTAAGCCAATCCCAAGTTAAATCCAGAAACTGGTGTATCCAATATGCTTTATAAGATCACTGGGAGATAGCAAGACTGGAAGGCAAAAAGTTGTCTCAGATCTTGTTTAGCAAAAGCTAAGGATTAACAAACCAGTAATGAGAAACCCAGTACAGAAAGATTAGAGTCAAATATTCATCTCTGTCCCTCAAAAGGGATTCAGAGAAATTCCTAAGGGTGTTGTGTATGTCTCAGTGTGTGGGATATGAACTCATCTCCAGAAACTGATCCAAGTCATATGAACTTCCTCTAGTCAGACTCACATGAAAAAAAGACAACAAACCATCAACCCCTGTCACGTCAGCCCTCTCATCCGTACACTTGCTAAAGAAATGCTTCCAGACTCCTCATCCCTTTGGAAGTGGGTCAGGATTGCTCCCAGGCCATCCCAATGTGTATTGTCAAGCTTTTAATTAAACACAGGCTAATGGCAAGAGSCCACCTTGCAGCCYCAGAGCTCAGCCTTTGGAAATCACYGCTCCRTGCTTGATAACACATGGCCCTCCAGCTCTGCTGAACTTTCTAGTCTGTGTAACTCAAATGGGAATCAAAGTCCCTACAATTTCATCKAAATTGGATGATCACATCTTCATCAAGGAACACAATAAGAATGTTTGAGTTGTTTTTGGAATTGCTRTAAGCCCTGCCTGCTGAAAGGCAGYGTGCTTAATGATCTCTGCTGCAGATTTGGATGCAATTTTCAGGAATTACGTAATCCCAGGGAGCTGTGATATCATCTGTCTTGGACTTCTTGCCTTTAGCACATAGAGATAAAAGCAGAATTTACCTTACTACAYGGAGTCCTTGTCTTTCATCCTGTGTGACACTAGATGGTAATTAATCTGGGCTTTTCCTGTAGCCATCCAGGAGAAACAAAATCCCACACTCTATTTAATTTGGATTCCAAAAGACAAACCCTACAGATTCCAGGTGGTGGCTCTTTTGTAGCTCCACATAAAAGTCTCTCCCATGCTTCAGACTGCAATAATGGCCGGGAGCTGAAAATGAACATTAAGATGAGTAAGTGATATACAAAAAAAAAAAAAAAAAAAAAAGAAAAGAAAAGCAAAGCAATTTGGCATTTTAACAGCTCCACAGAACCTTGGCTGAGATCCTCCCAGACAACCCCAAAAGCCTGGCTCACACCTCCAGGGAATGTGGCCCAGACCTCACATCAACCTCTCCCCTAAAATGAAAGCAAGGAGCTATTTTAAGCTCTSCAGCACCAGTAAACAGACATCAGCAGGTCATCTCTGCTGGCCTCTGCACACCCAAATTATTCCTCACAAGGGTCTGTACATGCCCAGCTCTCCCAGGAATTAGGGGTTAACATGGGTTGGATTAATATTTACCTTTTTKTTTTCCACCTCAAAACAAAAGCAGAGAGCAAAAGGATTTTCCCACAGGGTTGCTGTCTGCTCTCTGATAACCTGCTCCTCTCTTCTCTAAAGACAGATTTGTATGGAGATAGTTTACCCAGGCACTGGGAAATACTCCACAGACAGCAATGCTGGGCAGATGAGAAGAGCAGAATAAATTTATATTGATAAATAAGTTTGGCTTCACCCCCGGAGCAAACTGGGATGCCACATTGTGTAAAAGCTAAAATTTGTGGAGGTAGAGAAAGGCAACCCCAAAATAGGAGAAGGGCAGGCACACCGAGCAGCACAGTAACAGAATTATCTCCAAAGTATTTTAAACCCCCTTCTTTACATCACCTCTGAAATACCACTCTGCAGAACTTCCCAARAAGAGGGACTGCCCTTAGCTAAGCAGCCACATCAGAGGATATAMAGCTCTGCCCTCTTCTGCTTCTGCTGCTTCTGAAACTCCTGGCATGCACAGGGAACATTCCTTYCCTTACATTCAGAGCAGCTGAAGGTGACACAGCAGCACCGTCAGGGGCACAGCAGGAGGGAAATTCACAGCAGATGAGAACACAGGAGTCCAGCAGTCCTCTAGCTCCACTYGTTAGGAATAACCTAAATCCAGTCACATCACCATTCCCATCACATTCCCACTTCCAGTTGATAAAAAAGACCACAGACTGATGAATAGATCATAATTACGGACACGAAAAAAGGTGTAGTAGAAGTAGCTTTATCAAAGTATTTAAATTTTGTGGCAAATCTCTGCATCAATATGGGCAGGGAGGCAACGAAACGCTCTTCAGTAGCAATCTCAGTTACCCAACTATTCCTTGGATAGACATCTATTACAGGTAGTTTCTCTGTTCCTATTTCTCCAAGAGTTTAAGGCACAAAAGCCTGAAAAAGGGCTTGTAACACCTATGTAAGTGCTATTATTTTCACTTTCACCTCTAATGCAACATATCAGCTTAAATATATTGCTTGTCCATCCAGCTTATACAACATCCAGTAGAAAACCAMTTTCCAGGTTAACAACCATTTGTTGCACAATATATCAAAGCAATTGCTCTGACCTGTTTTTACTGCAAGACCTTCAGTTTCACTCTGACAGACAGTGGAAGACACTACAAAATCCCAACATCTCAATGAGACCATCAAGGTGTGTCCACAACAAAAAAAAAACAAAGGCATGATACACAAAATTACATTTAAATATCATTTCTGGGTAAGGTGTTTTCAACTGCTTTGCTAATGGGGTATTATTTCCTCATACACAGGCAGAGAAGCAAGTCAGATGTGCAAGAGATCACCAGGTAAAAGGCATCAATCTCTAGCCTTATAACACTCCAYTCTGTCTTTGCTCTCTCAAGTGCACTTTGGGTTGAGTGCTTAAGAACACCAAACTCGGAAGCTCAAGATCACATCTTAGATTAACCAGAACATAAACTTTCATCCCATGCACAAATTACAGCAACCTTACCCAGTYACTAGAAGGATTTTGAGACATTTTAGTAGTGTCCAACAATGATCTTATTKTAAAATAACACATTCACAAGCATTGGGTCAAATGGCTTAAGACAGTTAAATGGGCAGCAACACAGCAAGATGGGCAGGAACCAAAATGCAAAGGGTAATTTTACTTAAAAGACCAASTTTTTTACTGTATGATGGAGTAGAGTCTCTCCCCTGTGCCATCTCATTGAAAGTTCATAAATTACAATTCCCAGTAGGTATTAAGAGTTCATTTCAAGATAAAACGAATAAAACTGTYGCAGTTCTAATTTTTACCATGAAGAAACGTTACCATGATGCTTCTACAATACTTGCTCTCTACAGGAAAGGCCACAGTCTTCCTGTACTCCGAGTACCAGACCTGGGTGGGGAAAGTGCCACCCTCACTACCGCAGGGTCCAGGGGCAGCGTAACAGTTCAGAGTGCACTGGCAGGATGTCCCACAGACACAGTGCCTCAGCARCAAGGCTATAACACAGCTGGGATCTCTGATGAGACACTGTCCAAAGGCTGCCAATGACAGTCCATCAAGGCATCGTAGAGCTCTTCACTTTGTTCCATAAACTGCTTGTTTGCTTCRTGGACATCTAACTGAGGTGTGGGATCTGTGGGAGGAAAGGCAGACAAATAGGTCATACATCAAAASTGTTCAGAAAAACCCACCCTGTAAACAAACTGATTTATYAAAACAAACATGGAGGGAGTCTCARTATTTCTAGGGCAGGTATTRGAGGATAGTGCCAGACTGTGTTCAGCGGTGCCCAGAGACAGGAYAAGGAACAATGRCCATAAACTAAAACACAAGAAGATCCACCTCAACATGAATAAGAAATTCTTTTCAAGGAGGGTGGTAGAGCACTGAACAGCTGCCCARGGTGGGTGTGGAGTCTCCCTCTCTGRAGGCATTCCAAACCCACCTGSATATGTACCTGTGTCCCATACTCTAGGTAAGCCTGMATTAGCAGGGGGTTGAACTGGATGRWCTCCAGAGGTCCTTCCAACCCCAATATTCTATGATTCTGTGAGTCACCAAACATTCCCAGTACTTGCCCAATCACAAACCCAACCAGATCAGCCCTAGTTAATCTCTTTGCAATGGGAAATGGAATAACAATATCCAAACATGTCCCTTTTTCCAGTGGTGATGGTGCCACATGAGAGCCAGTAGAGGGAACACATGCACACACCTGCATCTCACAGCAAAGTGCAGCCACCTGCACTGCCAGAAAGGGTTGGCCCTGATAAGAAGGACAGGAGCACAGGCACCTGTTCACTTTTGCTCCCTCCACTGAGCAGTCACAAATATTGGATGGAGGATGGGAGCATCCTATGCTGTGATACCAGCAGTCATCAGAGCTTGTCTGCCAAAGCCTCCAGCAGCTCAAAGCTGGAGTCAGTGTTAGAAACCAGGGGAGGACAGTCGTGCCACACCATGATGTGTGAACAAAACCCTATTTAACAGGTGGAAGAAATGCTTAAAAAGCATTTTGGAGCTGAACAACCCAGCAGGTCCAATCCTGCTGCTCGCAATGCACAGTKATGGATTTCCCAAACCCCTGTAGGGTGTAAAGCTCATCTGACAACCCTTGCAACCCAAAGCTCAGATTATCAGAGTGGCACAAGCACACATGTCAGTGAGTGACTCTCAGTGCAAAGCTGAACGAATGGAAAGACTCTAAAACACATCAGGAATAAAATGGTTGTAAACATGTGACTTCCCTGTGAGGGARGTGAAGCTCTGGCATGGGTTGCCCAGGGAAGCTGTGACTGCCCCATCCCTGGAATTGTCCAAGGCCAGGTTGGATGGGCCTTGGAGTAATCTGGCCTGGTGGAAGGTCTCCCTGCCCACAGCAGGGAGAAGAAAGATCACCCTCAGCAGAGGGTGAAGAAAGATGGCTTTTGAAGTTCCTTCCACCCAAACCATTCAAGGATTCTATGTTTGGTTTTAGCTACATAATGTAACACATCACAGGAGAAGAGATTTAAGGRAAAGGAATGATACAGTGGCAACACATGAATTCAGTTTCCTACAAATGTAGCAATCATTCATTTAATCAACCAGAAAAAGTGATACCTCAGAGATATTCCAATTCTAATTCTGGTGTGTTTGGTTCAGCAAAAGGAGTGCACTCCTGGAATGGTTTTAAGAGCCCTTAAGAGCTTCCACACACATCATCACTYGTACCTGTGGATCCTGTAAATCTGTTACCATGTAATTTTTAACTTTTTTTGTTAAAGAGAAGAGTAAGACAYACTGCATAGTGCATATTCCACTTAAGACAGAGATCTGGAACTGCTGGCATGAAATGAGTTTCTTGCATCAATAAATGAAAGCTAATTGTCAAGGTATCTAAAACTATCATCTGGTCTAATAACCCATTTCAAGCAAGGATTACTTGAAATATTTTATCAGTGTGCTAAGTAAWATTATTCCCTTTTATTTTTAAACTAAGAGCACAATGAAGTATTCTGGGCTCTAAAGGTCAAGATTTTATAGAAAACCAGAATATCTATTTTTTTTGGTAGCATATCAGAAAAACACCTAGTAAAAAAAAGGATAAAAATTTCAGTACTACAGGAGATTAAAATCTCAGTGCTGGGAAGATCAAATAGTTTCAGCCCTTACCAGGTTCAGACCAGGAGCAGCAACAGTTGGGATGCAAGTGTTCTATGTGATAGTAACCTACAAATTTTCTCAGGTTTGCTTAAAGATATAGTATAAACTGAAATTAGGGCCAATTTGAGAAAGTCTGTCTCTAAGCAGTGAGTGCAGAACAAACAGACAACTTCAATAYAGAATTTGAGAAACATACCTTCCAATGCATCCTCACCAACTTCTTCATATGTCTGGAAAGAGAAACAAACCCCTTAGGACAGCAGATAACCATCTTTTCTTTTACAAGCATYACTTGTTTATTAGTACTGTCAGAAACTGGCTTTTATACCAGAGTTATTACAACAGAATTCTTCACACATCAGCCTGTGTTCCATTCCCAACACTACATGGGCAAGATTCCATACTAAACCTATAACAGAGGCAGCTCTTGAAATTCTTGGGTTGAAGTGGGTGACTGTTCTGATGAGTTCCATCCTTTATAACAAGACTTATGAAGGATCCCAGAAGGCACTGAGCACTGCCTCTACCAAGGAAACTCTTCTATCACAAYAACTGTATTAAGAGACCCATTGTGTCCTCCATTGCTGCTTTTACCACAGCAATACACCCCCCCATAATGCAATAGGATACACCAGGGGCTAAACACTAAATAGTAGCTATATTAAGACTTTATTATTAAGAGGTCTTTACTAAGATCACTTGGTGTGTTCAGTTTGGAGCAGAGGAGATTGAGGAGAGAGCTCATCAGAGTCTGCAGCTCCTCCCAAATCTCTGCTCCCTGTGACCAGGGACAACACCTGAGGGAAYGGCTGGAGCTGTGTCAGGGGAGGGTTAGGCTGGAGATCAGGAAAAGATTCTTCCCCCAGAGGTAGCTCAGGCACTGAACAGGCTCCCCAAGAAATGGYTGTGGTTCCAAGGCTGCCAGAGCAACAGGGGTGTTTGAAGTGCCCTCTCAGGCACAGAGTGGGGTTGGTGGGGTGTCCTGGGCAGGGCCAGGAGCTGGACTCAATGATCCCTGTAGGTCCCTTCCAGCTCAGGACATTCTGTGACTCTCAGAGCTGAAGATAAGATGTTCCCATCCCACCTTCCAAGCTCCATGGTGTTTCTGTGCTCCCCTACCTGCATGGTGCTCTGTGTGTAGCCGTACTGAGGGTAACTGTAGCTGTAACTGCCCGTGTTCTGGTCATACCCCCACTGCGCGTAGTAGCTGTGATACTGTTGGTAATACTGGTTGTAATTATAGTTGTACATCTGATTGTACTCCATTGTTTTCACACGATTGCTTCAAAAAATAAAGCAGGAGTAAGTCGCAAATAGTGCAGAACAAGAATGAAAAAAGCAGTGAAACAGCTTAAGATACAATGTGGTAAAAAGACAAGGCTTAGTCTAACATGCAAATTTCAATCTTTAAAATATATTCACCATTTACTGCAGCAATATTTATTATTTGCATACATTTAGATAAAGAAAGAAGTGGTTTCAATTTAACGGCCTTTCCTGTATTCATATTCCTCTTCATTAACAAACACTGCTTTCATTCTTAATGAGCTAATTGGGTATCGCTTCCTGGCTTTGGGAAGAGAAGARTTCAGGACTTTTAGCCTCAGTTTAGAACAATCCTGAACCACAATCCAGACACTTGGGTTCCTTTTTCCTTCTGAGAAAGAGGACGAAGTTAAGTGATCTGCAACTTTCTGGGAGAAGATACTTGCTTTACATGAAGAATTAAAGACTTAAAGCCTTGCAAAAAACCTGGAGTTTTCTTTTGTAAGAACAGAAAAAACTCTCCCTTCTGCCACTATCATACAGAAACCTAAGYAAGGACTTGGTCCCTTTCTCTCTGAACTGTGGTCAATTCACAGACTTGAAAAAGTTCATGAAATAAGAAATACTAGTAATGAAAAAACAAACTGAATAGCCCGTGTACTGACTGAAACTTCTATTCTTTGCCATAAAGTGGCAGCATTCCCAAGGAACTAGGAATTCACCTAACTATCAAGATTTGAAATAATGAGATGACAAACATAGTTTGAAAATGAAAATGTATCACACATAAAGCTATTTCTGATAATGATGAAATYAGTGAGAAGTAGGAAGAAGGAAACATCAATCTTCTCACCACGATACACCTTTTTTCTGTTTTTCTCTTCCTTTCCCCCCCAAGACTTCTGAGGTCACTGAAAATCTACATATTATTCAAATAGGGAGCAATTACTATGATTCGTATTACCCTAGTGCTACGAGCCCCAAGTCAGACCAGGATCTCATTGTATCAGGTTCTGAACAAACACAGAAAAAAAAGTTAATCTCTGCCCCAAATGATTTATATTTAGTAGACATCATAAYAGAATTAGCAAGGTAGTTGAGCTTTGCTAACCAGACATCAATACGCAGATTCAGACTATTTCAATTTAATGCAAAGGAACATACACTTCAAAAACAATCACATTTAACTACAGTGTGTGTACATGTGTGTGGATTTAATAAGGTATACAATTCAAACAGTGTAAAATGCTCAGTCTTGAGCTAATATTATAATGTCTTTGAATTCCAGGACATTCTGATACTMCCCATATTAATGGATATTCCCTCACTGTGTGATGGAAACATCCAGGACATGTACCCAAAGAACTAAAAGGCATTTAAACACAGAGATGATTTTTCATGTTAGCATCCACCTGTTCTTCTACTCACGCTTTTGGTATAGCCACACTGAGGCGTACAGGTTTAGAGCCCAACCCCACAGCTCCCTGACACTCGGTCAGTGCTCTCTTCTGTTCCAGTTCATCCGTGAATTTCACGAACCCGTAACCTCTGCAGAGACACAGAATAACTCATATAAAACTGACCCCAAAGAGCCAGGCCACATTGTAAAACTTAGTTACAGTGAAGTTTGAATTTGTTTGGGAAATACAGTGAATGAAAATGTTCATTAGGGCTGTTGTTCCTGCTTTTGGGAGAGATTAAATRATTCTGCTTTCCAGTTGTTTTTCCAAAATACATGAAGCCACACATCCAAGCTCTGGCAGCACTTTCAAGGGACTGTCAATGTCAAGCAGTTCTTGTGCCAGTGGATTCTGGGGAACTGGAAGTGAGCTGACGCAAGCTATGCTGAAATGCATGAACTGACAGTGATAAAGCCCCAAATCTCTGCTGGGAGGATACTGATAATCTCAAGAGTTGCAAGTCAGCACAGGATTGACAAGACAGACACTGCTCATATCCAGAACTGTGCCACTGTGAAGGAAAACACTACCTTTCCCTAAGGTCAATGAGATATGCTTTCCTATCAAGTTTGCTTTTCAATAGGAATATATCCAAATAAGCTATCTGCCATTCCCAACAACAGCATTTCCAATAGTGGGCCTGAAAATGAGCTCTTAACATCAAGTAACTAAAATTTGCTCTGAGAGCACAGCTGGAACAGGGGCAGCATATSCAGAACCCCTGGACTCTGCAACAACCCTTCATTGTGGTGTGGCAGCACTGCACGTCAGCCAGACAGAAAACTCCAACTCCCTCCAACCCCAACRGTCCTTTGCGTGGGATTTTGATGCTCTAGTGAGTCAGAAGCAATACAACAGCAYCCAACAGAGCAGTGCCAGGATCCCATCATGGGATGGGCTGCCTCACACAGCTGAAAGATCAAAGACTTAGGTGTGGGAGGGTAAGAAGAATCCACCTAAGCAAAGGAAGGAGTTTGGGAGGGAAGGGCTTGTCTACCTGGGGAAAAGAACAAGCTGTAAGCAAGGGCGTGAATTTACAGTGCATTATCTATTCTGTGGGAACTGCTAAACACCAAGTAATGTGCCACTYTGAAAGTAGCATCACCTACTACTCATGGGAGGTCCCCAATGGCAGCTATTCCACAGCAGTTCGTGCCTCAGAAAACACAGTACCTTGCACAGCAAGCTCCACACACTAWTCCAAATATCTTATTTTTATACATGTATACAGGTATGGATGTGTTCTCACAAAAAAACCCAAMAAAAACCAGATCAAAGTTTAGGCTTGTGTACATACAAACCAGACTATGAAGCACAAGCAAAACTCCACCAGCCCACGTTTGTTTAACCTGCCCTCTGCCAAAGGACTATGGCAAATTAATCCAGTGCAAGTCAACTTCTAAGTCAGTTTAAGGTGTTCACACACAAAATCCAACCAAGTTTCTAAGCTGCCAAAAGACTCCTGCAGACTTTCAAGAAGGACCAGGAGTGTGTAAGAGAAACAGGGAAGATTGGCAGTTCCAAAATAGAGACAGACAGATTTGGATGAAGTGTACAGGAATAGATGCTGTGTGCCATAAGGGAGACAGTCATTCTTCCAGCTCTTACAGACATATAGCTTTTCTACACCAATGGCTAAATCAGATTTTGGTACAAAAGAAAACCCAGCAAAAAATCATGTCTTCCTGGCCCAGACTTTCCTGCAGACCTTCTGTCCTGTCCCTGAAGTTTGGAAATGGCCCAACACCTGCATTTTCAGCAGAAAGCAGGGAAGCAGGCATAGCACGACGGAACCAGGCTCCAAGCTCCTCTCCTGCCAAGACAAGAGGTGATGGGAAGAGGCCTTCCTGATTCACCTGGCTGAAAGGGCCAGGGCTWCACTGGGCATGTACAGAAGCCCTAAGCTCCTCTTTCACATCACACTGACACCTRCAAGTTGCCTCAGCCTTGAGTAATTGCACAAGTCCCAACAAAGCSCCTGGAACCAATACTCTGGCACTGCTGGGGAGACAGCTTTGCTCTTCCTAGAAACAGGACTCTAAATCCCTGCTCTTTCCCCACTTCCCAAGCTACTACAGATTTCTTTTCTCGAGGTCTGCACCTATGCACAGCTTCCAAAACCCAACTAACASTCCAACTTGCAGCACCAACACCTGTTCTACAGAGTCTGAGGCAGGTGCAGCACAACAGCAAGGAGGAGGAGGAGGAGGAACAGGAGAAGACACAGAGAGCCCAACCCAGCAATGTCAGTCCTCAATGAGGTGGCAATGACAGCATAAGGACCCAACAGCCAGAGTGACTGAGCAGCTCTACAAGAGGTTCAGGTTGCACATGAAGAGGAACTTCATGACTGGGGAGGGGAGTACAGCTCTGGAACAGGCTGCCCAGACAGGTTGAATCTCTGGGAGATTTTCCAGGCCACACAATTCATTGATTATCTAATGTAGCATTGGCTGTAGTACTGTTTGTAGCTGGAGCAGAGACCTCCATTGATTCCTTCAAACCAACATGTCTAAGATGAGAAACCTCATCTGAAAAGGTGRGGACACTGACAGCCATAGCCTAGATCTTATCTCAACATTCTCATGATATCAGAAAATTGTGCTTCACTGAAGTCATGGTCTGCTTTAAAAACAAGGATGCTCACCATCTGCTCYCTCCTTTAGAAAAATACAGTTTAATTTTGTGCTATTATTTAGAAAATGTTTTAATTACATTAAGAAATCCAACTTTTTGATACCTGTTTTTGGCAAGACATTTCCAGGAAAGACAAACAAGGCGGCTACTGAGAACCTGACAATGAATCACAGCATTGTGTTCTACCCTGTTTGAAATAAAAACCTGTACAGCTCTCACAGGAATACACACTCAATAGCCTAAAGTTTGTAAAGCCAATTTTATTCCACCTGAGAGTCCAGGAAGAGTGTTTCAAGATTAATTAAGACATTTTTCAGCATTTTAAGAAGTGCAATAACACACAAAGGGCCTCACATAGACAAAGSAGTGACAATACCCATGGTGACTATCAAAACTCAAGCAAACTGCAGATTGAATGGCCAAGAACACTGTATTTTAAGATAACTAAAATCTAAAAATCTAAGCCAAAACAACTTTTTTTTYCCCCTTGCTGCATTCCACCTTTCCTGTTGCCACATGTGAAGTGAAAAAAAGAGTGAATAACAGATTACTTACTTGGATACTCCTGCCTGGTCCAACACAACTTTTCCACCTCTACATGATGGATAAACTTTAACAAAAAAYTCATATAACATCCCATCATCCACGTCCGGTGTCAGGTCTCCCACAAAAAGGGAATATTCTGGACTAAAGAAATCAAAAGAAAACTTCTTATATACAATCATACAAAGAAAAAAAAAAAAGACATGCTGAGTGATGCTCACTATTTAGCCTAAATATTTGAACCCAGAGAAAAGTGATATTAAAAGACCATTTAGTGGAGACTTTAAAGGGTCACCAATTAAGCTKCTTAACAAAAATGTTTATTGAAACTGCTTTTTCAAGTTAATTCAAGCAGCACAACCAACCTACTTAATACTGCTTTTCATTTAAAGATTATTTCACTGCTTATTACTCACATGATATCTCTGATTTCTAATATGGCAAGAAAACATTAGTATCTCATTTGTAGATATGCTCCTCCAACACATAGATCTTAAATTATAATATATGAATTAGATACTTTGATGCTATAAAATTTAAATACCCKAGCAGACACTGAATAAATCTGCTGTGCCACACACAGGGCAAAGCACAAAACTGGCAGTCTAAGTTGTCCTCYCTCTACTAAAGACTGGCAGTGATGAACTCATGGGTTTATGTATTTTGAGTACCTTTTTGCAAGGCAATTAATAAAGAGACATTAAGCAGGCAAAATTAATATTTAAATATTGAGCACTTACCTGTTATCGGGCTGTTTTCCATAYGTTGCATAATTCAATTTAAACCGCTTYGCCTRAAACAAGGCAAAAATGAATCCATAYRTTCTAATAYTGTCATGTRAATTCAAGCAATTAGGAAAAAATAAAATAAGCTGATTTAATACAACTTTCCTAATATTGATAGATGTTCACTGCCTTCAGGCCAGCCACTTAAGGCATCAAGCACATTTTTATTTAATGTCAATATACAGCTATAATAATAAAAATTAAAACCGGAACAGAGGTGCTAATAATAAACAGGAAATTTCTTCCAATTTTAAGGTCTTATAATGAAATGACAGCTCCACTATTGGACTTCCATGATTTAACACAAACACTGGCAGATTAGAATCCACCAAACTGGAAGATGGAATCGATGTGAATCTGGAAGAGTGGCTCTGGACATTTAGTAAGATCCAAAATAAAGGGATTTTGAAAGAATTACATTGGACACTGAGGTCTCTCTCAATTTTGCATCTCATTTAATTTTTAAAACAGGTTTCCCAGCAGCCCATATTCGTGCCCTGTGGCCATCTGAAACTCTCTGTCTCCAACCTACCAGACTTCACCATCTTGTGCCCAACTTACATGCATGTCTAGACCAAGATCTAAGGAGACCAAGATCTTTAGAATAGCTCTAGATATCAGGGGCTGATCTCACGATCAGAAATCGTGATTTCAGATCAAAATCAGAAACTCCCTAGAGATCAGGGCACTYGTTCAGTACAATGAAGAGCCCAATGTGTTCTTGGACCCCGTATGATGGACTTCCTTCCTTCAAAGACTGGTAAATAATTCTTGGGAAATAGAGCACAGACTTAACTCTAGGCTATAATCCTGTTCCTTGCATGCTTGCATTCTCTGGAGCACAGTGCTACACAACTTTATGGGGATCATTTACAAGCTATCACAAAATTTAGATTCCGCTTTGAAGCACTTCAATCTTTTTTTTGGATCCCGCCCTTCATTGCAATATTCTGGGTTAAAAATCAAYGAGGCACCAGAGAATACTTCCACTSACATGGGAACTGKGAACACCAGTTCCGGAAAAGAGAGACAGCACCAGCACCATGGCTCTCTGTTAGTTCTTTGGCTGATTCAGWATTTAAAAATAAATAAAAGCATGCACCACACTCAGTTTTCTGTAAACAAAAGTCTCTAAATGCAATGGATGAGCTGGGCAGTTGCCTGCTGAGTGCACTGATTTGGGCTGCTTTGGATCTCTCTGCCTGACATTTATAATTTTCTCTGTGTGTTATGCAAATCATCCCTCCACACAGTACCATGTTTYGAACAAAACTGTGAAGAAAGATAGGTATTCCCAAAATCAAACTTCCATTATTATCTTACTCCTTGCAAGAGCTGCTCTCTTTGTCCCTCCAATGACTACAGCAGGCATCCAGGATAATCAGCTTGCCTTAATCGTGGGCAAACACGTGAAACAGCTATCTCCAGGCCTCTTGTCGACTACTTTTAACGGGGCACATCACCCTCTCAGGAATGTTGACTAAATAGTTCAATCTGAACTTACCGGTTTCCTAGGCTGGGTATTAACTACACTGAAACAGAGATCCATTTACCTTGTATATCACACCAGAACTGAGGCGATTCTAGAACTGCTTTATGAACAAGTCACCCCAGCTACTGCAGCCAACTCCTCCGGGTACAACAGACAGCTGTGTCAGCCACCCCATTTTAATCCACCACACATCCAAGTCAACATCCTAAAATTAGCCTCTCTGACTATTCCTCCACTTCTTCCTAACTACCCAGCTTTTATGTGCACAAGACATTACTTATGCACTGTAATTATTCAACGGCTCTGGCTCCTTCTCCACTGTAAAGAAGTTTGAATAACTTTTGTTTGCTAAGGGCCAAGAACAATGCAAGGTTAAAACTCATGTTTCTCTTGCAAATCAAAGTTACCCAAAGTTCAGTGTGAACTTGCAAATTCATCCTGTACATATGTAACAACACACAGAGGTAAATTCTCAGGTTGCTTCATCCCTGAAAGTGATYAAGGCCAGGTGGAATGAGGCTTGGTGTGATTTGGTGTAGTGGAAGGTGTGGGGATGAAATATGAAAATAAAGGGGATGAAATGAGATGAGATTTAATGTATCTTTCAACCTAAACCAGACTTCATGACTATACAAAAGGAGAGAGATGGAAGAATTGTGGCAGACATACACTATACTCAGTCTAACTTTTTCTTTGTTATTCTCAGGTTTCTCATTAGTCCACTTTGTTAASAACAGAAATTCTCAGATATAAAAAAAACCCACACTGCAAAACACTTCTACACCTGGATTTTATCCAGACAGTCACAAAGAAATCAGTAATTTTTCTCAGCAATTTTCTGAGCAAGAACACTAACAGTTTTATATTCATAACTTCAACTCTAAAGCAAAAAAGAATCTCACTTTTCTAACTATTGAATTTGTCTGTAATCAGTAAAAATACAGACTCTGCACTAGGTGTCCCTTCTAACTTTTGGTTCTCAACTGRCTGATCCCATTTACTTACCGGTGTAGCACCAGGAAGTGGTTTTCCATTGATTTTGTGTAAACATTTCTCTGCAGTAGCTAGATCTGCAAATTCTACAAAGCAATAGCCTGCTGGAATTCTGAACATACAACACAGGAGAGAAGAGACAAAGGTTATAAATTTAAAACACATTTGAGGAGGAAAGTTGTATTTTAGATAACTGGTAGGAAATTTGCTATAGTTGCAATACATAGAACAGTTTCTTTTTAAAGTATAAACATTAGTTACCAAAGAGAAGCTGGATGTCAAGGGACAGCCCCTACTTACCATACTGACTGACAGGTCAACATAAACACATAGCAAGTGGTTTAGTTTACAGTTTATTTCCTACTTTCACTGAGCATCAACTTGCCTACCCAAGTTTAAACTACCGAAAAGTGAAATTACAACACTTAGAAGAACAATGAATAAGAACAAAACTACTTTATTCTGTGTACAGTCACTCACTATTTCAAATTAACACAAAAGGTTCTCATATTGCTCAAAATCAGACCTCTGTCAGTATCACATAGCTACACTACAGACTAGTGACCAAAACCTGGGGAGGTGTAATTCCCTGAGGGGTGGAGTAAGATACATGCACTGCTCTGACTGAGTCCTGGAGAACTGCAGGATGAGGGCCAATCTTTGTTTGTTGAGGGGAGGCTGAAGAGCCAGCAGCACTCTCTCCATTGCTCTCATCAATATTCCCATATTGGTGTAAGCAGTGGTGAAAAACTCAAAGGAAAAATTCACTCTGATATGGAAGGACCATGGCAATGCTTCAGTCCAAATGCACTGGGAGAACAAACAGAAACAGTTACCCTGTCAACCTGTTTCGAATGATTTTTACACTCAGTACAAGCTCTCCCATGGTGGCAAAGGCTCTCGAAACAAAGTTTTCATCCATATAGGGCTCCAGCTATAAAAGCAAAAAAAAAGGAAGTTAGATCAGGGCATCTACAAAAAAGAGAATATATGTGTCAATGTCCCCCTAAGCAGTTAAAACATTATTGAGAAGGATTTTACCCTTACACTTCAAAAAGAAGACTCATTTAAGAGGGTCGATGCCACTCAAAACCAGCAGGCATGCATGAACCAGGCTCAACAGTCTGCAAAGTGGAACCCAAGAGACAGCATGAATTTCAGAGAACAGGGAGCTTCACAGAAGGACAAAAGCCACTCAGAAACATACAGCAACAAACTGAGCATTCGCTACAGGGAGAAGGGGAGAAGGAGGTGGCAGGCTCCTTCTCCAGGTGCAAGCGAAAGCTGGGCCAGCGCTGTGGGTACACAGGGGTGGCACCCCGGGTGGCTGCAGCAGCTGACACTGCTCCATGGAGCTGCAGTAGGGGTCTGCACAACCCTAGAKATACCGGGGCAGCACTCAGGGGAAGCCCTGGAATCGTGTCCCACAGCGGCTCTATGCTCTGTCCTGCCCATGGGAGCACTGACCGTGTTCATGTCACAGGTGGGGGTGGCACTGTGCAGGCAACAATGTATGTGAACATGCTGGAGAGCAGGTGTCTGCGTGATGTAAGGGACTGACAAGTAGGAAATGGTGCTAGAATTTGGATCAAATATTCTATGAAGGGCCTGAGTGATCAGGGCACCTCTTTGTATAACAAAAAGTGGAGGAGGGAACTAACCAAAATTAAAGCCTTTTGATGGGGCGTACTGTGACAGGTAACACGGAGCTGAAAAATGTATATATGAAATATATACAGCTTAATGTATCTAAGTATATACCTATGTAAGAGAGGTGGCTCATGGTAATCTACAGCCCTCAAGTGTGTTTGTGTGTCTGTCAGGTACCACACACACCACTTGTGTGTGTGACAGAATATGCAGTATGTGAAAGGTGACCATAATGTACTTGCATGTGTAAAAGCCAGCAGATACCCTGTTGAGGTGAGTGTGAAACAGAACTGACTCATCCTAGAAGCAGAGGCACAACCACTCTGTACAGATCCTGCTGTGCAGGGTGACCCAGGGTGTGTGTGTGTGTGTGTGTGTGTGTGTGTCCAGGAAAGCTGGGTTTGCAAATGCAACAAGCTTGCTTGGCTATGTTCATGTGGCTTAAAGAGCCATGGCCTGCTTATGAGAGTTGTGATGAAAAAGAAAATTGGTATGGTAGAGAGGTGGCAGATAACCCTCTGTGTGGAGAAAGCAGAAAACAGACTCCATGAAATCTCCATGCACAAGAAAATGCAAGGGAGGACTCTGATGCCATGGCAAACTAGGTGTGCTGAATGTGTGTGTGGGAGAAAAATACCCAGTGGGATACTCAGGGATGTGCTGCGCTATATGTACACACATGTGAGAGATGAGGAACACAATATGCAAGTGGGACTGTGCTGGTGTAAGCTGCAAGAAAGGGGCTGAAGGAAGACGTATGTGAGCAAAACAGGTGGCATGGAAGTCGTGACATGCTAGTGTGACTGCACATGCATAGTGGAGTGCATGCAGGTGAGTACAGACGTGACAAACTGCAAGGATGCCACACGCATGCAGTGGGACTGCATGTGTGAGTATGTCAGAGTTTCCCACAGTGCAGTGTGGCAGGCACCACAACACACAGAGCACACACACACATGCACTGTGGGTGGGTGGCAGAGCACTACAGTATGCTGGGGTGAGTACACAAGTGTGTGAAAATGTGTGCTTAGCAGTGAGTGGTGAGGAACACGGGGCACAAGTGTGAGGGTGTATGAAGGGCACACAAGGGATGCCATGGGCTGTGCATCACTGTGAGTGTGTCCACAGTGTGCACATGAGCGAGCAGCAGGACATCCTTGGGTGAAGAAGCAGGTGCACACACTTTCTGCCAGGTACACACACAGGCAGGAATGAGAGAACTAGCAGAGTGTGTAAGTGCTTTTGAGTATGTGTACACATAGGAGAGTCAAAATCCCTATGAAGGTGTGAGTGCACCCAGGGGTGCACGTGTAGGGGGCAGGTTGTGAGGGATAATCTTGGAGAGGTGCATACAAATGTGAGTGCCTAGAAGTACGAGCACAATTAGCAGCACGAGTGTAAGTGCTTTGGACAATACAAGCATGTAAGTGCCTATAGCAGCTGAGCAGGTAAAACAGTAGATAAATCCTCAAAGCAAGTGAGTGTACATGCTGTGAGTATGGGAGTGTGTAAGTGCCTCTTGGAGTATGGAAGTGTGAAACTTGTTGGTGCCCACACATGTGTCTGCCTATCAGGGACACTAGTGTAAGTGCGGCTGTGACCTGGCTGCAGGCAGGCACCTCTCTGCGGTGTGTAGATGTGTGTGTAACTGTTCACAAATGTGCCTGTTGGGCTGGGGGTTATGCCTGAATGTGTCAGCCAGTGTGAGCATGTCAGCACGCAAAGGAGTGAGTAAGGTCAGTGTCGCTTGGGGAGTTTTGAGTATGTGAAGCTGTATCCGCGYAGGGATGTCAGTGGTGTGAGGGGTCAGTCAGTCAGGGAGAGGGTCAGCTGTCAGTCAGTGAGGGTGTCAGAGCTGTGAGGATGTCAGTCTGTCGGCTGGTGTGTGGGTGTCAGTGAGAGTGTCAGCCAGTCGGTATGAGGGTGTCAATTGGTGTGGGGTGTCAGTCAGAGTAAGGCTGGCAGTTGCTGTAATGGTGTCAGTCGGTGTGAGGGCGTCCGTCAGTGTGGGGGTGTCAGTCGGTCGGTCGGTCGGTGGGAGGGTGGCAGTTAGTCAGTGTCAGTGTCAGTTAGTCAGTGTCAGAGTGCTGGTCAGTGACGGTATCAGCCGCTCAGCGCCCCCCGCGCGTCCCCCGGCCCAGCCGCTTCTCCCCACAGTCCCGCCGCCCGCCGCCCCCCTCATGAAGCCGCGCGTTCCCGGCCGGACACTCACGTCCCCCATCCACAGGCTGGCGGCCATGCTGCTCCCGCAGGCCCCGCGGAGGCTTCAGCGGGGCCGCGCGCTCCGCCTCCCGGCCCGGCCCCGCCGCTGCCACCGCCGCCCCTCCCTCCGTCCCTTCCCCCGGTGTCCCGGTCCCTCAGTCCCTCCCCGTCCCTCCCGCCGCCGCCCGGCCCGGCCTCGCCGCCTCCTCCTCGGCCCCGGCGGGCGGAGAGAGCGGCGCCCCCGCCGCCGCAGCGACCCCTGGCGGTAGGAGGAGCGACAGCGCGGGAGAGAGCCGGGTGGGGAGAG